CTTCTATACAACAAATTTGAAAACTATGTTTAAGAATGGATATGGAGTGTGAACAAATGACTTGGTGGAATCATATATAAATCAGTAGTATAGATTATGAAAAAATATAGCAATGCAGTTTTTCCCTCTCTCTAATATTGCCTCAGTTTTGAAAGTTTGGAAGAACTGAAGCGAAATAAAACAAAATCGAACAAAAAATTTGGGCAGCTTTGCATAAATTAATTTTTACAATGCAATAGAACAGCTAAAATGAAATTATTCAATATAAAAGATTAAACAGCCACTGCTACAATTGCATTATTACACGTGAACATAGATTATGAACAGATAGTCTGCCACTCCCATTTGGACGAATATTTATACAGATGATATTGAACAATACCTAACAGAAGTGACTGGTCGTTTGTGTCAAACTCTCTTCCACGAATTTTATCCGGTTAGTTCTATTTCATTTATTTCGATAGAGAATGTCAACTGCTTTTCAATGTGTCGCGTTATGAAGGATTTTAGAATTTCACAACAAACCTTTAAATAAGCACCTTTTTTAAATAAAATTATCTTTTTATTAAATTTGCAACTTTGAATATTGCGAATACTTCGCTTTGAAACGTTTGTAACCGATCTGCAGCGTGAATAACTTCTCATGCTCATCGTTTGAGTGAGAAATGCAATTATTACTAGCATTAAATCGAAACCATTTTTTTTCAATGTTAATATATTTCAAAAAACATTTACCGGAAGAAATTTTTCCATTGCGTGAATATCAAACAGCAGGCGGTCATATTTCTTATAAGTTAGCAGTCATAGTATTAGTAAATTTGAATGTTTTTCAGAATTGGCAAGGAAATTACTTTCTTCAATATGCATTCCATTTATTTCGCCTTTTTCTTCTACCAACTGGGCAACATTCAAACCTCAGTAAGTTCATTTAAAGTTGAAAATACAACGCGGCATTACAGTATTTTGAAGATTTCAAATTTTTAACACAGTGTGAGATTGATAATTTCATATAATTTGAGAAGGCGCAAACAGAACAAACAGCGCCGTTGGATTTATCAGTGCAGGGATTGAATGACGAACAAATGGGAAATTTGTTGTTATTAGCTGAGGTGGCTAGTAAAGTGCCGAAAGCCGAAGTAGCCGCTAAAAATACAGATGAATTTGACGGTCAAAATTTGACAGTCAAGATGAACTTAACAGTCAAAGAAGAGAGCGTTAAACAAAAAAGTACGGAAAGACTCGCAGGGAAGAAATCGAAAAAGAAGAAACTGCAGTGTGGAGTATGTGGACAGATCATGACAAATATGAAAAGGCATATGATGACTCATACCGATGAGAAGCCTCACAGTTGTCCGATATGCAAGAAAAATTTCCCTCGATCAGATAAGATGAAAGAACATATGAGAACTCATACCGGTGTGAAGCCATATGTTTGTCCGGTATGCAGGAAAAGTTTCTCGCAATTACACCATAGGAAATATCATATAGAGAGAACTCATGCTGGTGTGAAGCCCTACAGTTTGTTCGATGTGCAATAAAAGTTTCAGATTGAAATATAATTTGAAAAGCCATATGGCAACTCACGATAAAAATAGATCGCTCTTCAACTGTTCCGCCTGTGGTAAAGATTTTCCTAACTAAATGCTATTTGAAGTCACATGAAAAGAATCATGAAAGAAGCTGAAGGGCACATTTTAAACTGAAATGAGTTTTGTTTTGTTGATTGTAATTTATATTTCTGTAGTTAGCCCTTATTTTAATAATGACATTCTTGCTGTTATTATTTGTCGCTTGCTTATAAGTTATTCATTTTTTATCTCATATGCATAATAGTATCGTTCTTTTCCCATCCCTTTGCTATTTCTTTCATTTTAGTGAATAAAATTATTAATTTTGCGTTTACTTCCTGCTAAATTGCTTAAAAGAGCTCCTGCTAAATTACTTTTTCGTTATTCGCGCATACATAATAAGTAACTGACATGCTGTATGCATGCAAGAACAATTGTTGATATGATATCTTCTAACTTTGCATGTCAGTTGATTTGAAGAAAATGTGATGATGTTATACCACTGCGATGTTACACCCGTTTATACCACTTGCTCATCGAATTAGTGACATATCATGTAACAGCTGCAAAATAAAGTGTCATCGTAAATCTATATTTTTTCTATATAATTTGAAATTAATTAAAATCAATTAACTAAAGAAATGGAAAGTAATTAGGAGTTTTCTAAAATTCTTGTTTTTTTCTTCGTAAATATTCCAGGCTAACAATTCTGCTTGCAATCTAAATGGAATGCGTGAAGTATATCAAATTCCGATATCAAAATAATTTCAAACTAAGCATTAGAAAAGAACGTATGTTGTATTTGCTTATTATAAAAGGTGTTAGTAACATTCTGTATGTAATTCTATATTCAATTCTGTATCGAAAATCTGTTATGTTAAAATAAATGTATTTTGATTCATTTAAGAATTGATTACAAGGGATAGCTAAAATCAATTATTCCTATATGCAAATAATATGCTAATCTACCACCTTTTATTCCTTTTTTTCTCGCCAGTTTCAAATTTCTCCTGATTTTGAAACTATTCCTGCATTCATCAGGAAAGTTTTATCGATTTGACTTTTATAGCTAAGGTTTATTCGGAGTAATATGAAGCAATGAATAAATTGAATATTCTTCCATCCTACTACCATCTCGGAATACCCATTATTTTTCGCAATGTTACTAGTGATGGTAGGAGGAAATAGTGATGGCCGTCAAGGCCGTCTTATATTTGTTGCGCGGTTTTAGCATTTTCAAATTGCTTAGCATAATCACCCTTCTACATTTTCCTCCTGATTTTGTCGAATTACTTGTCGTGTCGAGAAGTTAACCAGTGGTTCATGATGTACCGATCTCCGGTTGAGTTCGAAGGTCATCGCAGCAATAGAATATACTTTAACAATTCTTTTATATGTCTATGATATCATATGGCTGTTTAAAAATCATCTTTTGCTGGCAGATGTTGATATGACCCCATTTTGTTGGTTACCTAACTAGATATCCTTGGGAATTCCTTGGTATCGAATTTTGATGTGTTATGCGTGACAACCATGTTTAATGACTTGGGCACATAATTCTGATGTGGTATGTATATGTGATAAATGCTGTCAATTGCTTATCATAATGTTTCGAAATTCACTGGTATCATATCTGACATAAGTATGTTACTTGATCAATACTAATGAATATGTGCATATAACCAAAGAGTTTGACAATGGAAGCATATTCAAATTTAGCTTTGTTCACGTCCAATCAAAACTATAAAATGTCGTTTGTAGGACTAATTTCGAGAATGCAGCATTCACTGGACGTTATCTCGGAATCATATTCTGGAAATCAGAACACGAAATAAGAGGAGCACATAAAGATTTGAAAATTGAATTGAACGATAACTGAAAAGATTATTTGAATTAGAAGACTAAGTCTGTAGTCTTTTAATTGTACGTATTAAAGGCTGCGAAATTTTCGAACTGGATATAGGTTAAAAAATGTTGAATTTATGAATTAAATATATATATTCGGATCAAATTTCAGTTTAATTTTTTAATACGCATGAAATTTTATAAGATTCGGTTATGTTTTATTAATAATAAAGATACGCGAAATGTCATTTCATTAGATCATAAAATGTAACTGTAACTGAAATGAGGAAATCCAAGATGTATCTCAAATCTCAAACGTATGAATATTTAAGGCAATGAATATCAGTAGCAGTAGCAGTTGTGGAAGTTATGGTGATATTTGGTGAAGTATTAGAGTTGTCGAAACGATTGTAAGGAATGAAGCAGGAAAATTAAGTTGGTTGCGGTGATCAACAAGGATGTTTTAATCCTAAAATTCTCATAAATCTAAAAGGTTAAGAAGAATGGCGGGGGAAATTATTGCCTGAAAAGGATATTATCCTGAAGACAGTAAGCTCAATTTGATTCCAAAGATGCTTACGCTTGAATCTGTAGAAATAATTGATGCCATTGAGAGATTGAGAAAAACATTGTGCGGTTTATTAAGCAAAAACAATATGACGTAAATCAGTCAGTATCAAAAAAGGAATGGAATTGGTGGACTGAACTCAAATGACTTTTTAAATGATTGATTTTCAGTATATAAGAAGATTGGAGAGAAAGGTTAAATCGTCATGGATGAAAGATTGAATGTTGAAAATTGTGATTGGTTGCCATTGTCCTCTCAAATGGATGTTGTTCAAGTCACGTATAATTTGACTCTGCACTGTTTGTGAATTTTATCGCGGAACATCCTTCTTGCTCTCTTCGATGGAGATCACTGAATGCATGTCAAGGAATTGCTATTGATAGGATTGGTGCAGTCATTGAAAATGATTGTCAAAGTAAAGGAAGTTATTGATTAAGAGGATTTCGTATGGAAGGGTAGAGGGGATGACTTAAAATCCTATATTAATGTGGAATATTGCTTTCTGAAGTTTGGCTTTTCGACTAACCAAGTCGTAATTTTTATTTTGAGCAACACTGAATTAGTTTCTACCTTTAGGTTCCTTCTATTCAGTCATATTTATTGCTAACTTAGCCTCTACACTATTTGCTTAACTAGTGCTTGCGGTCAGGATTATTAATGAATACTATACGTGTGATTTATTTTTGTAATGCCACCTATCAATGAATGCTAAAAGGGAATGTTAAGAACCCAATTGCAAATTTGCTTAAAATACTGGCAGTTGTAAAAAAAAATGTTGCAGCAAAGAAGTCCTAGAGCGTGATATGTGACGAACAACATCATTCGTAGTGCCACTGAAATTCTTTTCATCTATAACATTTTCAACATTGGAAAGAAAGAAAAATAAACTAAAAATTCATCTTATGGCTATCAATCGGTTTCATGCCAAGAATAATAACGAAGAACAATATTTATGGCCTAGAAACAAACTAAAAAAGTATGGTTAATGATGGAAATAATTGCATGGCAAGGTGTACTTAAAGGATTCTGTGCTATAATAGATGTTTCCTGAATTACTTTACAATGAGGATGAATCATATTCCTTCTGGAATGTGCTTTCCTTATCAGTTATTGAAATTCAAGATTATCATCTCCTGTTCAGCAAAAGATGCTTCGAGCATCTGCGATTTGAGAAAGGTTCATTCCACATTAAATTGAAAGCTCGATTTTCAACATTTAAATTTCAAAAATATCAGTAAAAGGAGGACTTATAATGCAACAATGCAACGTAACCAGTTTTTTATTACTCCAGGTAATCTTTTTATTTTTTTTAGTGTTCAGCGTTTTCAGTTTTTCGGCAATATTTAAATAAAGGTAAGTTTGTCAACTGGATTTGTATTATTACCGTATGATACGTTTAGGGACAACTTTCGATACATAATTTTTTAGTAATTTTTGTAAATTTTTATATTTTATTTTTCAGATATTTGTGTTCATTATTATTGTTCATTAGCATTTTTTCCAGATTTCCAGGTTTCGTTATTTTCTGTCATTTGCATTGGTTTAGACATATACAAAATTAGAAAATTTCCTTTTTGTTGTAGAGTGCGGTTAATTTTGGTTCCCAAAGTTTCAGTCAACTTTTTAATTGCACTAACTGGAATATCTTCTATTCCAGGCTATAAAATTTAGATATTTTGGGGTTTTTACTGAAGCACTTAGAAATTTTCTATAATTGGTTTTGAGCAAATTCACCGGAAAGAATTTCCTTTTGTCCAAACATCAGACAAAATTTCGAAAGAAATCACGACACATGCAAAACTAGTGATTCCGAATCATTAGTGAGCAGCACTGGACTAAAGTTAGATTTAAATAATTTATCTGTTTATACGAATTCACTTTAGCAATTCATATTAAATAAATTTGAAACATACTGAAAAGCGAGTTTTAGAAGAATAGCCAGAAGTTGATTGTTCTGTAATGTTAGTTTTTCCAATTAATAGTCAAAAACCTTTCGATTAATTAGCCAGAAAACTCTAACTTAGCTAATATAAAAAACCCTAATCAATTTTGACAGAATTTCATTTGATTATTTTTTAACGAGAACAAGTGTTAAAAATTTTTGCTCCTAATTTAAATAGTATTTGTTACGAAATTTGAATTCGTTGAAGTTCATCTTTTATCTCAGTCTAACTAGTTATGGTAAAATCTCATTTGACTAGAAGGAGAATAAGATGATTATGGTGCTTGGTCTCAGAAAGGTTACTTGCGGCTGTCGCTATGCTTTTGATTGTCCGCTATTTTCAAACTTTCTTAAAATTCCATTTGAGATTCCTTTCACTGGGGTTTCAGATACAAATTCTCCGAAATATTAACAGGTTATCGAACAGTTTATTCCAATGATACAACTGAGCTTGTGATTATTCATATCATCTTAGCCAACGTGATAAGAAACGGTAGCTGTTCTCGTTAAATTGCATATTAAAAATAATCGTATATCAGAAGTCAAAAAGGTTTTACGCCGAAATTAACTCTATCGTAAAAAAAAAGGAAGGTTTTCATATTTAATGTGATCCACTATTACAACAAACATTGAATTCGCTGCCAGGCAGATTAATTAATGAATATATATATATATATATATATATATATATATATATATATATATATATATATATATATATAT